TGGAGCTGACAAAAAGTGCAGAGTGGAATGCCTAAGATAAGATACAGGCTGATCAAAGGGTTAGCTTTCCAATATTAATAGGTAGAGAATCACACCACCTTTTTTTACATTTAGTGATGAAGTGACTCATCCAAGTCCTTGTGCTCCACAAAGCATTGCGGACTGCTCTGGTAACTTTGAGCAGTGGTATTGCAGCAGATAAAATAATTAACTAATGCATATCCAATAACATACAGTATATGTAACGCGATAGTATTATTATTTTTCTTTACATGGGGAGAAATACTAAATTGTTGACCATGAGACATGGGTTGGAAGATTTATTCTTGTTCCATGTGTGTTTGCATTGATTAAGAAGAAAAAGGTCAAAGGTTATCATGATACGTTTAACTAAAAGTTTTGCTATTTGCTCTTCACCTGTTCTTTCCTATGAACACATTAAGGAAAGTTTTACACCTTCACTCATACTTGACTTAACAACGATATTCTTCATTATATCAGCTAATTGTTCCGCTCTCTTGATGTATGGAACCTCTATATTTTGGAGTCGAGATTATCTTTGATGTAGTTTCTATCAAGTTCAACATGTTTTATCCTATTATGTTGCACGAGATTGTTTGCAATTTTAATGGCAGCCGTGTTGTCACAGAAGAGTAACATAGGCTTGTCCGGACCAAAGCCAAGTTCACTAAGGAGAAGTTTTAGCCATGTAAGCTCGGTAGTTGCATGATACAATGCACGATATTCCGCCTCAACACTGGATAGTGAGACCACATTCCGTTTCTTACTCCTCCAAGTCACAAGATTGCCCTCAACGAACGATACATATCCTGATATGGATTTTCTGTATAATCTCGATCCAGCAAAATCAAAATCCGTATAACCCATAATATCTAAGTGGTCCCTCTTTGAATACATAATGCCCTTGCCTGGAGAGGACTTCAGATATGCTAATATTCGATTAACTGTACTCATATGCTGCTCACTAGGATTATGCAAGAATTGACTCACAACGCTAACTACATATGACAAATTAGGTCTCGTGTGGGTTAGATAGATCAGCTTCTCGACCAATCTCTAGTATTTTTCTTTGTTTGTGGGAATCTGATCAGGATAAATAGATAGACCGTGGTTTACCTCAAGCCGACATACTAGTTTTTGCTAGAAGGTCAAGGACGTACTTGTGTTGAGATAAGATAAGTCCTTGCTGGGACCGTGATACCTCAATGCCCAAGAAATACTTCTAAGTACCCAAGTCCTTCATTTCGAACTCTTTTGTCAAATGGCTTTGGAGTTTATCAATATCACTGGGATTACTGCCAGTAACAATCATATAATCCACATAGACAATAAGCATAGTAATATTATGACCATCTCTCTTATAAAATAAAGTATAATCAGCCGAGGCATGTTTAAAATCATACTTTTTCATTGAACAATTTAATCTTCCAAACCACGCCCTTGGTGATTGTTTTAGCCCATACAGGGCTTTCTTCAGCTTCCACACATTACCTCCTGGAGGAGTAAAACCGGGAGGAGGATCCGTATACATTTCTTCTGTCAGATCACCATGAAGGAATGCATTTTTAACATCAAATTGCCTTAATGACCAATCAAGATTGATTGCTAGAGATAAGATGACTCTAACGGTATTCATCTTAGCTACTGAAGCAAAAATTTCCTGATAGTCAATTCCATAAGGCCGTGTGTACCCTTTGGCAACCAATCTAGCTTTATACCTATCCACAATTCCATCTGACCTGTATTTTAATGAGTACACCCACTTGCATCCCACGATCTTTTTCCTTGGTGGTAATAAGACCATCTCCCAAGTAGAGTCCTTTTTGAGAGCATTCATCTCTTCTACCATAGTAGATTTCCACTTAGGTTGATCAAGAGCTTCTTGAAAGTGATTAGGGATAGACACAGAAGAAAGTTGGAGGGCAAATGTCAGGTTAGTCTTAGATAAACGATGGTATGAGATATAATCAGAGATGAGAAAGATAGCATAGAAGAAGATTTTGAAAAACCAAACCTATCAGGCTTATTATGGACTCGAAGAGGGTATCTCATATCCTGAGTATCAACAATATCTAAAGCTGCAGGATTAGAATCAGAAATAGAGATAGGACTAGAAGGGGTAAACAGAGTAGGTACCTCATTTTCAATCTCTGAAGAATCAGATGGCACTGTAGTATCAACTGGAGGGTTATCAGGGTCTGAAGAGGGTAATGTAGGGGTGCAAGTATTGTCTGAGTGTCTCATTGTATAACATTTTTGGAATAAACGAGGTAATCTATCACCCTCATCTCCAACTCGATATTCAATCTGGGATTCTCCATCCATTTCAGAAATCCACACTTTCTTTTCATCTAACCACGCTCGTTCTTCTTCCTTACTACTAATCTCCCCCGGAACATGTCATCAAAAAAAAGATTTTGATTCGCAAAATTCCACATCCATAGAAACACAGTATTTTCCCGTAGGGGAATGAAAGCATTTGTAGTCCTTCTGGAAGCTTGAGTAGCCAAGGAAGACACATTTCAGGGCACGAAGTCAAATTTATCTCTGAGATGACAATGCACATGGACATAACACACACAACAAAAATTTTTGGGACGAATATTTAAACAAAGGGAATAGAGTGAAACTATGACAATATTGTTAAAGGAGTTTGAAAGTCAATAATGCGAGAGGGCATGCAATTTATGAGAAAGACAGCAGTTGTCACTGCCTCAACCCAAAAACGTTTTGGAACACGCATAGTAAAACATAAAACCCATGCTACTTCAAGAATGTGTCGATTTTTTGCTCTGCGATGCCATTTTGTTGAGGTATGTAAGCACACGTGGTTTGATGAAGAATGTCGTGAGTCGAGAAGAAGTTGTCAAGGGTTTGATTTACAAACTCACGACCATTGTTAGAATGAATAACTTTGACCCAATCATTTTTGAGAATTCTGGAATAACATGCACTACTTCACCCTTAAATTTTAACTGATATATCTAACACACTCTGGTACAATCATCAATGAAAGAGACAAAATATTTATGACCTGTAATAGATGGAGTAGAGAATGGCCCCCAAACATCAGTATGAACACAAGTAAAAGGAACAACACTTTTATTAAAGCTGACTTTAAAAGGTACACGATGATTTTTGACAAAAATACATTGTTCACACCGCATACTAGAACTAGAAATGTTTTTAAACAGCTTTGGGAACAAGTGTTCTAAATAAGGAAATGAAGGATGACCTAATCGATAATGCCACAAAAGAATCATATCTCTTGGAGAGGATTTACTAACAGCTTGAAGACCATGACTTTCCTTAGTTTGCAAACCCCTTGTTCCTTCCACAAAATACAACCCTCATTTCTCTCTACTAATGCCAATCGTCATCTTCGTTCGATTGTCCTGAAACACACAATTAGTAGGTGAGAATATGACAGAGCAATCAAGATGCTTTGTAATTTTACTAATAGATAAGAGATTAGTCGAAAATGTAGGTGCAAGTAAAACAGATGAGAGTGAGAAAGTAGGTGAAAACAAGACATTTTTGGCCCCAGTAATTTTGACAAGAGTCCCATTAGCCATCTAAACAGACTGGACATACGAAGTAGTCAAGGAATCAAATGTAGAAGGATTACAGGTAAAATGATCGGTAGCTCCAGAATCTATAACCCCAAAATCAGATACGGTAGAAGTAGATTGCAACCCAAAAGTACCTTCTCCGGGAGATGAACGAGCAACATGGGAAGCAGTAGGTGTAGGTGCATGAGTAGAAACATCGGTTGAATGTGTAGCCTGAGAGTATCTTCCACCCTTCCTTTCTATCCTCTTTGCTAAATACCAGTATGCATAACCATTTTTCTTGAAACATTTGTCAGCGGTATGCCCTTTAAGGTGATAGAATGGGCAAGTTTCAGTAGACTGAATATGGGGGTCGTAATCGAGGATTGAACCCTTTTGCCACCAATGCAGACGTCTTGGAATGGCTTTCGGCCCCCATGGTGAGTTGTCTCTATTCCTCATGACGAACAATCGAGAACACTTCTTCCAATCTTGGAAAAGGTGTAGTAGCTAAAATACGGCTACGCACTTGATCCAAGCCATGATCAAGTCCCGCCAAAAACATATAAATCCTATCTTCAGCACACCTTTCTTTTAATGCATCAACATTGACGACACATTTCATAGGATTTGGTCTGCGATAGTCAAGCTCCAAGAAAATGGAATTCATTTCAGTGTAGTCAAGCTCCAAGAGGCCGCTCTTCTTACCGTAGCTGAAATGATTTTTTCATTAGTTCATAGACCTGTGACGAGTCAGAGACATCAAGATAACTTCTCTTAACTGCATCCCACACATCTTTGGCTGTGTCAAACTGAACAAAGTGGGCCACAAGGGCATCGGTCATAGAGTTGATAAGCCACGACTTAACGATAGCATCATCTGCCACCCATTCATTATAACTACTATCATTCTCTTTCGATACAGTTAGTTCACCAAAAATGTGAGCTCTTTTCTTCCGACCAGTAATATGCATCTCCAGTAATTTTGACCACACACGATAGTTAGTACCATCTAACTTAATATGAATCGGAGATGATGTCTCATGAATTAACGACGTAACCACCTTGTTATCAACCATTATTCCGAAACTTGTGCCACGAAGGAATCACCCAGACAGAATGAAAAGATGCCGAAAATGAGTAATATCAAATGGAATAACACTAATAAGCTGGGAATGATAGCAAGAACCAAACCTCCCTTTGATTTATATTAAATTCTCGTTTCTAGAATTATGAATATACGGCTTTTTCCATAACTTTTATGCCCTTGTAAGACATTGCTTAATTTTCCTGCTTTGCAGGTACGAAGGACTTGACCGTTTTATTAGGTTGAGGCTGCAGCTTCGTCCAAATTCTTTTGTTGCTACAAAAGTAGCAGCTGATAGTTTATTCTTTGGGCCTTTCCATTTACTTGTGTTTTTCATTTACATGGGTTTTTCGACTGGGAAAAGTGCTGCTCAGGTGAAGGAAGACATGAAGAGAGACTTTCTCCCAGCCTTAATTTTGGAGGGTGGTGTATGGCCAATTGTTCAGGTGGCAAATTTCCGATATATCCCAGTCAGGTGTCAGCTTCTCTATGTGAACCTTTTCTGTTTGTTGGATAACATCTTTCTTTCGCTGGTCGAGCAACAAGAAAACGCTCCTTGGAGACAATGGTTCAAATCATTTTTGAGTTTAAAAGAACAAGAAGGTGGATAATTTCTAATTTCTTCTACCATAGTGTGTTGATTTTATTTATTTATTTTTTGGTTTCAATTGTCATCATTGGTAAATACATTTCGGAAAAAGATGAATCATTTACAGTCTGAGTTGAATTGCCTACCTGTTTATGGCTTCAAATTTAAAGAAAGATGACATTGAATGTTCCTTAGTTTGTACTAATCTTCCTAACAAGAGCCTAGCCATGAAATGTCCTCCATTAATATGATTGATTTCAGTTGCCTTTTTATTCATTTAAAGCTTCTTTTTTATAATTTAGCCTAATCTTCATGCGCGATCCTGCTGTTTGCACATATTGGGTGTTTCGTATACAATGTCCACGTGAAAGTGCCGCTTCAAAGAAATAAATGTATCGTACAGATTAAAACCCGGCTAGGATATAACTACTCTTAGCAGGGTTATATGTCAATAGACATATGCTATATCAGGTCTGGTACGACTGGGAAAAGTGCTGCTCAGGTGAAGGAAGACATGAAGAGAGACTTTCCCAGCCTTAATTTTGGAGGGTGGTGTATGGCCAATTGTTCAGGTGGCAAATTTCCGATATATCCCAGTCAGGTATCAGCTTCTCTATGTGAACCTTTTCTGTTTGTTGGATAACTTCTTTCTTTCGCTGGTCGAGCAACAAGAAAACGCTCCTTGGAGACAATGGTTCAAATCATTTTTGAGTTTAAAAGAACAAAGAGGAAAAGGTGGATAATTTCTAATTTCTTCTACCATAGTGTGTTGATTTTATTTATTTATTTTTTTTTTGGTTTCAATTGTCATCATTGGTAAATACATTTCGGAAAAAGATGAATCATTTACAGTCTGAGTTGAATTGCCTACCTGTTTATGGCTTCAAATTTAAAGAAAGATGACATTGAATGTTCTTTAGTTTGTACTAGTCTTCCTAACAAGAGCCTAGCCATGAAATGTCCTTCATTAATATGATTGATTTCAGTTGCCTTTCTATTCATTTAAAGCTTCTTTTTTATAATTTAGCCTAATCTTCATGCGCGATCCTGCTGTTTGCACATATTGGGTGTTTCGTATACAATGTCCATGTGAAAGTGCCGCTTCAAAGAAATAAATGTATCGTACAGATTAAAACCCGGCTAGGATATAACTAAGAATCGTCCCAATATACAGTTATCTGCAGTCCTCAGCCAATACCTTGTGTTTAGATGGGAACACCATGGCATAAGAATTTTGTCAGACGAGAATCCTTGCAACTAAGCAAGAAACTATCATGCATAGCACCAGAAAAGAACTTACAGTAAAATTAATCATTATGAGCCTGCAACCCAGCATTTGTAAACCACAGTTTACACACTGCAAAGATTAGCCATGTTTTGGGCTGGTCATTAAATAGGCCAGTCGAGCCTACAGGCACAACAATTTTGATGAGCAGTCACTTCATTTTGCTCGGGCAGGGGCCAAATGCTTGATCTCTCAAAGAGCCTGAGCCTTCTTGTTCCATTCCAGACAATGTATCTCCAATGACTCGGCAAACTAGCCTCGTAACTTTGGAATGGGGGTCTCCTCCTTAGGATGCAGTGACCAGGACGAGGTTATCTATTTATACTATGGTTCTAGAAGCTATGCGAAACCAGCCTGCTTCATCTCATCCACTACTGAATTCAATTTCTCCAATAATCCTGCCCTTCGATAGCCAGCAACCAACAAATCGTAAATCGATCTTGTAAACTTGTAAGAACCTTTTATATATTCTAAAAACACGTCTAGCCTATCATGATCTCCCTTTCTGAAATAGCAACATATTACCTTTTCAACATCATCCGGAGAGCTAAACGATATTCCGTCTTTTAACATCCTCCCGACCGAGTACTCTACGTCATCCAATCTGTCTGCCTTAGCATACATTCTTATAAAGGAGCTATGTACCATCGAATGAATTTCCAAAACTTGCTCGGATTTTGGGTAAGTTACCAGTAACTCCTCCATATCTTCTACCGTTCCAAAACCGTGAAAAAATTCCACAACCTTTTTCGCCATCTGTTTATTAGTCCTACAACCCCCTTCGATTATAATTCGCAAAAGTTCTTTCACTTTACCGGAATTTCTCTGCTCGCAGTACACCAGGATCATATTCTGCAGTATAGATACATTAGGCATTAATCCCGCTAACATCATTTCTTCGTAATATCTTTCTGCATCACTAAAATTCCGTGATTTGGTACAACTCAATATGAGAAAATCATATGCACAAAGATCTGGGGAGAATCCAGATGCCCTTTTGGACGAGTACCAAGCTTCAGTTGCCTTCTTGTTCCCCGAGTTTGCATACCACGACATGAAAGCATTGTAAGTATCAGAATCGGGTTTATAGCTCTCTGAGTTCTCCATTATTTCAAATAAGCTTAACGCCGTAAGTAAATTACCTGAAGATAAAAATGTGGATATAAGGGCATTAAAGACAGAAGGAGTCGCTTTAAGACCCTGAGTCTCCATTCTAGTAAATATCTGCAATGCCATTGGAAGATTTCGAATACTACCACATAAAGAAATCAATTCCGAGTAACAATCATGATTTTTCTCACTTTGGTCAGTCAATTTCTCCAATCTCCACTGTACAACCTACACATAACAAACAATTAATGTGCATCAATACAAATTAACTTCATGAGCATGTGGAGAAGACCTACAAAGATATGCTCACGCAATTACCAGAACAACTTAACTGAACAAAATACGAAAACATATTCATGGATCGATAAAAGTTTAACAATAATCTTTACATTCCTCTGAAAACTATCTTCGTATAACATTGTGCAGATGAAACCCACCTTGAAGGATTCTGCCACTATTTCGAGTTTCTTAGTTAACCAAACAGCTTGCTCTTTAAATATATAGTGAATCACTGGCAGCACTACCATCTTATGTTAAACAAGGTAAGCATAAAAGGAGACAACTTCTTTGTCCTCCATGGCATCCCCTCTGCTTAGTTCATTGCCCCCTTGTATTTGCTCATTCGAAATTACTATCACAAGAATGCCGACAATTACCCAACCTCCTTCATCCTGGAATAAAGGCACCCACCCACAAATCACTACAGTGAAGGATATAACCGTATTTTTCAAATTCGCACTTACTCCTTTATGAATCATGACAAAATTATTGACAAAAAAGAAGCTCGCTAGCACTAAATAAGCCCTGGCCCTATCCCATAAAAATAATGCTATCTAGCAAAGCACCAATTTAGGTGGTTATGTGATATTGTATTTAAGTAAATCTATTAGTTAATGCTATACAGTTGCCACCTAGACTGGTGCTCAGTAGTGTTGAATAGCATTACTCATCCCATAAACCATTTAGAAAAGCCTATCTATCTATCCATTCCAAGTCTAAAAACGTGCCTTTTTAACCTTCTATCCACTTCGAGTCTACAAAGCTCATGGAATTTAGAATCAGAACCATTTCTCCACGACCATATTAAGCACTATAATTTCTGAAACCCATCACTAAGGTAAGCAAAATTTCCAAATTTAGAACTCAAATGCTGCTTACAGTTTTCTTAACAAATTTCGAAAATATTACCACTACTCAGACTTATAAAGAACATGAGATCCCATCTACAGGTTAATTGGCAATAGGTGGAGCAGCCAACAATTAATATGGCATTTTAGGATTCCTTAAATAACCTATAATACTGGACTTTGTACATAAACTGTATCTACTAGTCATCGAATCTCAATTATCCCAGCTAAATGAAACAATCATTTTATCAAATTTTACACTTTCACGATTAGCATCTACCATGTAATTGCATGTACAGAAGAAGAAATTACCAAATTGGCCTTCTGGGAAGATGAGATATTGAGCAAACTAAGGAGGGAAGCCCATGGAAATTCAGGGGCTGTTGAGTTGAATTGTCTAAGATCCCAGCGAAACTAAGATGAAATTGGCTCTTTCAGAAGTTTCTGCAGAAGAGGGCCATGTGATGATTCAGAAGGCGAAGAAGAAGTGAGATTTCTTTCACTAATTAATCCGATTAATGAATAACTTTTGGTTCGAAATTTTGGGAGAAGAAATCTGCCGCCGCCCGCAATCGCCCACATTTTTTTCTCACCTTGCAACGAATTATGAATAGTTGGCTGACTTATAGGAGGAAATAGTGGGAAATATCCGGATGACCGTCCAATTTTGCAAAATAGTCGTTGACCACGTAAAAAAAAAGGAAAAAATAAAAAACAAGTAAGAACGAGTTTTTTCCTAAATTACCCTTGTCATTTGAAAAGTGAGGGAGAAGAGAGAGGGAAGAAAACTCGGACCGAGGCCCCACCATTTCTTCACCGACGACCCGGACGCCGAAAATCACCATTTTCAGTTGAAGAAGGTGAATGTTGGGAACAATAATATGATTTTTTTTATAAATGATGATTGTATTTTTAAGTGTATAAAGAAAAAATATAGGATTTGTTGATTATCTTTATAGAATGTGTTGTAGATATAGGAATCATTGAATAAAATGATTTTTTTGGAGTGACTGGGAGGCGGAGATCGCACCCAAGGGAGCCTTCCTCCATGGATATTACATCACCAAGCTACTCCACCCAAATTGAGTATTACAACGCTCAGCTGCTCCATCCAGGAATCGAACTCCCCACCCTGAGGTTGCAAGCCCAGCAATGCCCATCCTTTGCCAACTTGGATGTGCCTCGGGGGGCTATTTTTACATTTTTTTAAATTGTAACAATTGGTATCAAATTAACTACCGGATATTGATATCATAATAATGACGGATGGGGCCCCTGAGGCACATCTCCAAGTGGTAAAATGGGAAAGTGGAAAAACTCCAACTTTGTTTGAGGCTGCCGCATCAAGAGTTCGAATATTGAAATATGGATTTGCCTCTTGGGTAAGTGCAAGTATACGAACAGACTTCCATCTATTATTGGAGGCATAACTTGGGATTTACCTCCTTCACCAAAGCTCAGGACAAAGCAAGTGGGGGCCGTCAAAGATGTGGCTCATCATTTTCATAATAATGACGGATGGGACTAGAACAGCCATTTGGAAGTTGAAGAAGTTGTGTTATAAGACATATCCGACCCTGCATTAAAATTTGAGGTAAGTCTTGTATCATTTTACACCAAATTTTGTATCAAATTGAAAATTATTTCGATTCCATTACACCAAAACTTATACCAAATTAATAGTGTTTAATCATTTTCTTCATTTATTTGATTATTAACAATTTATTTATTTGAAAAATTATTTATTTATTTATTTTACTACTACATAAATTTCTAAATAAATCATTATGTTAGATTATCTAAAATGTCGAATTCATTAATAATTTTTTTTAAAAATATAGTACATATAATAGAAATACCACAAATAAGAAATATTAAATCATGTCATTAAAAAATAGTGAAATACGTTTCAAATTCTGAATTGGTGTTGCAATTTAATTCTCGAAATTTGTATATTCATTCCACAAATGATTAATTAATTCATTCCTTAATTATTATTGATTACATTATTAAAATTTACATACAAATTCACATAATAATAATTTATTGTATTACAAAAATGTATAATAAAATGGACACATATACCCTTAACCAAATTTTTTGCAAAGTGAAAGAGAATGACAAAATTGTATTTAACCATTTTGGTGCAAAATGGTGCAAATGGATAATGTTTTTTTGGTGCAATAGGTTGGAGGATATTTGCACCAAATATTTGGTGCAATTCGGTGAATTCTGGAGAAATGGTGCAACATTGAAGATGCTCTAACTAAATTGACTTTGTACATAACGGTTATGAAACTCAAGTTTGAGCAATTAGTTCCTACGTTGATAGTGGAGGAAGATGATAGTTAAGCGATGATTCTTTCGAGTGCAAACATACACCAAGAGGAACAACTATTCAAATCTCTACAAATTAATTATCTAAGGAAAAAAAAAACACTTTGAGGTCATCATTGGTAAGTACGTACTCTTGTTGTTGTCCCCAATTCTCCCATTGACTTTGTAATTGGAAATCAACACAATTCAACCACTGACGATTTATCATTAACAGAACTCCACTAATTGAAGGCCTTTTCAACCAGAGGAATCAATTTGTGAAATCATCATTTCAAATTTCAACTCTTATCTCAACAGTTTAACTTTAGCCTTTGGACAAATATGTTTTTAAGGGGATGCAATGCAACGAAAAATGTTATAGTATATTAGGAAATAATCAAATTTTAGCTTAATTTATTGCAATAATTTTTTTACGTAAGAGAGAATTCGGATTGTATCTAGCATCGGAAATTGAAGTTTATCAAATAAATAAATTATTTTATGGGGATTTCTCATAAATGTCACTAAATTTGAAAATAGACCAAAATTTCTCACTTTTACTAAATATGCTAAAAAAAATGTCAAAGTGAGTATAAACCGATTTCTTCTACCATTAACAAACCCTAACTTTCTTATCACCTTCTCCATTCCTTCATAAAAAAGAAATTACTATTGAATTCATCTTCCATTTTGAGAGGTTAGCATGCTAGAAATTATTTATATTTTTATCTTATAACTTAATACTTTTGAAATGTTAAATACAACACGATCATATTTATTTGAAATTTTCGAAATTATTATTCATTGATTTGTTTAGTTTTTCAAATATTTTCAAAGAAAGATATCAATATTCTCTAAAAAATATTATGAATGATTTCGTATTTAATGAAGCATCGAGTTATTTATTTGGGAAGATATTGCCATGTTGTAGTTGAAAATTGATAATTGCCATTAATGTTTTGAATAATTTCTTCCAATTAAACCCAATAATTGTTTTGTAAAATTGTCTCTTTAATGATTCATTGTACAAATTATTTGGAAAGGAGATTTTATTATTTGGTAGTACAATATCGATGACCACGCTTAAGGTTATGAAGAATTTGTTCCAATCACACATATGTTGCATGCTTCTCTTCAGTTCCGAGAATTCAACTGTCGAATTTGACATTTTGAAACTGTCAAGATTGACATTTAAATTTCGAATTCGACATTTGAAAACTGTCGGGATAGACATTTTAACGGTTGGTTTCACATGTTTGCTGTTATATTCGAATGTGCCACTTTCATGCTATTAAATGTAGACATATTGATTGTGCAGAATTCTTACCATTGCAATATCAAATTTTCAGGTATGAATAATTATTTGAGATTCATCGTGTTGCATAAGAAAAATTTTGTTATGTAGATAACGCATGAAAGTGAAGAGGGGACAAAACTACTTCAATCGTATATTTGACAAGTATCACCCTAGCTGGACCCGTGTTACGATTGAAAAACAAACTTGGTATTCTTGATCCCCGCACTTAAATTGAATTGGAAACATAAATATACCTCCGGCCAAAAGACGCGAAGATGAAGAAGAAAGCCATGCCATGCTATTTATAATCAATTTTTTGGAAGGAAGCAACTATGGCCATTTAGTACACAACTACTAAATCACAACTTAAGTTATTGCTTGAGTGACAATTGGTGTGATGGTTTAAGGTATATGTGTACCTTTATCCCCAAAAATTTGTCCATAATTTATGGAAAATGTGAATCTTAAATCATGAGTACCATTTTATCATAACATTTCCTTTAGTAGATGTTGTTAATCAATGATTATGAATAATTTTTTATCTTAAATGTAACACTTGCATGATGAACATATCATTTACTATTAGGGGTCATTTAAGATGAAAAAACATGATTAAAGTAGTTTTATTAATATTATTTCTTTTACTTATGATATGTGCACCAGACGTGGAAATAAATGTTACAAATGTTAGAACAAGAAGAGCAATCATCCTAAGCTATTTTGATATTCAAACTTCTCATAATCAGAATTCAATTAAGCAATCCAATATTTGTCCCCTGCTAATCAAACAAACCAACAAATATGTCAAAGACAAAGAGAAACTAATCTTCTAAAACAAATAAAATTCTCATAAGCTACATGATTGCGAAAGAGTTTTCACTTAATTGATTTCTAAATAGATAATGGAAGAAACATTCTTCACTTCTTTTTTGGGGCAAGTCTATCTTGCTTTATAATTTTGATGCATAAAAGCACTAGCATTGTAATGAATACAAAAATTAGAGCAAGCCTCAAATGTCTATAATGTAAAGAAATGGTAGAGAAAACGAGAAATGATAAAATGACAAGTTCTCATATCACAAAAATAGTAACATTCACCCTATATCTAGCAAACACAACATATGAGAAATAACAATTCTCGGAGATGCATAAGCACATATATATACAACCACCAAATCATGTTTAAAATTAAATTCTTGGAGAAAAGCAACTAAGGTCATTTAGTATACAAACAGCAAACCGTGTTTAACATAGTATTAACAAACTTCCTCGCCCCTTAGTGAATGGAGTCCTGGTAGATACTGCAGGGAATCGAACGTATGTCAATCGCGGCCTTTCCGTGTTAATAACATTGTCGTCTTCAATAGGTATGGTGGTTGCCACTGATATGTCAGTGACATCGCTTACGCAAAAGTAGTATGAGTTGTATTAATTATTCAAAATGCCAAATAATAACAAAATATAGTCTATCAACATCTAATTATCCACTCGACTACCTAAAATCAATATAATGTTATTTGTAATAATAAGGTGCAACAAGAAAGCAAAAAAAAGGTCAGATTATAATAATTCGTACATATTAATGCAAAACACACATATCATGTTCAGATGAACTAAAGTTGGACATGTCGACAGATGAGTACAAAACTGATCTTCGAGAAGTAGTCATTCGTTGAGAAATACTACTTTAACTGTCGAGAATGACAGTTCATATCAACAGCTGGCTCAACTGATCTGTGGAGATTGAGTCATTAGTTGAAAATAACTAAAACTATTTGTTGAGAACGATAGTTCATCTCGATAGATGAGTTACATAATTGATCTGTCGAGAATTCATAACTATCGAGACTTTCTTTTTAACAAATTAAACAATTTACTTCAAAGATAGTTATGTTCGTTTATGTTATGTACGAAACACTGGTAATTAAAATTGTCTATTTTCTAGTTCTAGTCCATAATTAAAAGTATCTATTTTTGCGTAGTAAAGAAATGCAAAAAGTCCAATTTCTCGGCTTCTACAATGAGAGCGATAAATGAACACATATGCACATACATATCACAAGCATATGAACTATAACCTTGATGAACACCCATATGGCTTTCTTTAAGCCTTTCTTCTTAACAATAAAATTGGTGCCAATGAAGAAGCTGGAAGACAAAGCTAGCACCAACCCTTTTATATTTTCAAACGAAATCCCCATATATACATTTGACGTAGTGGCAGCAAAAGCAGTCATTGCTGCTTCCACCTCTGATGCGGCCATCTTTGCAATAAAAATAAAAAATAAAAAGAGACATAATGTAAACTATCACAATCTCATCAGACATTGTAACAATAAATAGCTAGGTTAAACAAATGGGCTCCACTTTTCTCCTTTCCTATTTGAAGTTATAACTTCTAACCCAGTATATGTTATCGGGTGGTCCAAGGATTTCAACGTAACAAATGAAAAACTTAAACACCTAGTACACAAATATAGGAATCAAGATAAGATGAACCCATACCTTGAAAATTATTCAGTATTAAAACCCAAAAGGTAGATTCGATCCAAAACTTTGAGCAAATTTATTCGAATCGAATGTGATATTTGAGTTCAACGTGGCTGAATGAGAAATATTTGTCAAGCTTTTCAACCCACGTTTAAGCATAAAAATGGCCGAAATGAAGGTATTTTTCGGCAATTGGATATTTCAGTTCACCGTGAACCGCATGAGAAATGTTTGTCAAGCTTTTTGACCCACATTTAAACATTAAAATGGCCGGAGCTGGTGGTATTCGTCCTTGACTCCGGTTGGCTTTTTAGATTTGAAATGAGAGAAAAAAGAGTGTGGGTTTAGGGTTTTGGGGAGATGTTGAATGAGAGAGAGAAATTGGGTTTGGCTTTGGAATTTTCAAAATTTTCAAGTACTATTGTAATTTGATTGGTTGTCACATTTTTTTCTTGTTGTAGAACTTTTTCATGTTGTCAACTCAAAGATGTGTATGGTATTTAAATTCTTTAGAGGGGTAAAAATGTAAAACAATGACAATCTTGCAAAATTTTTCAAAAAGTAACATTTTTGGAAAATGCAAAACCAAAAATTGACTAATTCCTCTTCTTATATATATATTTGTCATTTTATATGTTTCTTTCTTCTTCTTGGTCTTTACACACTTGACCTCTCTTCAGTCAATAGTTGGCGGGTGTTTTTGATGAGCTTTGTCAAGTGGAGTAACTGAAATTGTTGGGACCCAAATGCCACTTTTGTTAAAACATGATGGCATTGGAATTTCTTTCTTTTGTTATTGAAGAAGAGAAAATGATATAATTCGGACTGTCAATAAATATATATGTGAAGACGAAAGATGTTGGAATACATTGACATTCTCTTCAAGAAAGTATTTCTGATCGCTCCTTCATTGTTTCTCTTTTCTTGCCTTTTGATGTAGTTTTATGTGTTCGTTTATCTTTATTTCATTTTATGTACGATTCTTTGTTGTTGTGGATTTCGGTGATCAGGATCTTGGTTAGTTGAGTAATAGAGAGGCGATTTTTTAGGATATCCCCTTAGATAATATGTGGTTAGGGCTCCCTTTAATTTGGTCTATCCGTTCTATGGATAGTTTGCTGAAGCGGATATAAGGGCCAAAGATGAATATGCATTCTTCTAGTAAGGCGAGAGAAGAGGTTGGACTTGATGAGAGCTCGAAGGGGATCTTGGATCAAATTAGGGAACCCATTCATGCTAGAGTTGAGCCATAGGATGTCAGCACGGTACATCATAGTGAGGTGGAGGGAAGAGTCGAACTGAATCTCGACCATAAGATGAATCTTGAGTGGAAAGCTTTAATGTAAGGGACCGAGGAACACAAATTTATGTTGCAAAACTGGCATAGGGACTGAAGTGTAAGGTCTCGAAATTCATTGCTTATTTTGGTTGGTTTGACCTACTTTTTAAAACGGGCCTTGGAGGCTTGATCCATATAAGGAGATAAAGTTCCAAATACATAGGTTAGTTAAAGGGAAAATTACATAAATCCAGGTATTTTAAGACTACAATTCAAAAATCAGGGATAAATTTTTCCAATTCAAAAATCAGGTATCAAAAATATTATAATACAAATTTCATCACAAACCCTAATTAATTTCCCATACCTATTCGTTATATCTCTCTTCCCATCTCGTTTCTCTCTCTATCCCTCATTTCCTCTCCTCTCACGAAAACACAACCACCACCATCGTCAATGTGAAGATGCTACAACCGCTGTGAAGGCGTCACCACCACTACTGTAGTGATCTGTTTCTCTCATGTGAAGACGTCGCTGCAGCCATAAAGCCCAGATCGTCGCTGAGGGTCTCTGATTTGAGTCGCGACGCTTTGTTCGCGCGGTGCTCTAAGCGCCACTGATCTTAGCCGCGACACTCAGTTCGTCACTACAGTGGCAAATCGGCAGCGATTTTATATTATTTTGTGATGATTTGTATGCGCGGTGTTCTAAGCGCTACTGATCTTAGCCGCGACACTTAGTTCGTCGCTACAGTGGCAAATCGACAGTGATTTTATATTATTTTGTGATGGTTTGTGGCGATTAGAGGTGGCTTTGTAGTAGCTTTTGAGGTGATTTTGTGGTGGTGCTGTTGATGTTTTATGGTGGTTTTGCTTTGCTTTGCTGTGCTGTGGTGGTGATTTTGTATGGTCCGGTGATGGTGGTAGTCATGGCCAGCGTCGCGACGGGTGTTATGGGTGTGTGTGTTGTTGGTGTGTGCTCAGTGGTGGAATGGAGTTATGGTGGTGGCGGCGTCGCGACAGGTGGGGGTGTGGTGCGGTGACGGGGTTGGAGTTTTTGTTGGGTGGTTGTTGTGGTATGACGTGGTTTTTTTTGTTGGGTGGTGCTGTGGGTGCAGTGGTGGCGACGGCGTGGTGCAGATGTGGTGTGTGGTGGGTTCGAATCTGGTTGGTGGTGGTGGTGGTGGGGATAGTGTATGGTTGGATGCGGTGGTGGTGGTGATGTTGGTGGCCGTGGTGGTGATGGTAGCGACGGGGTGAGGGTGGTCAAAAGTGGCTGAAGTGGTAGTGCCAGTGGTATGTGACCAAGTATTTGGTTATCTACGACCTAAAAATTTGACAATATGTAAAATATGTAACCAATGAAATTAACCGTAACCTATAAATTTTTGAATTTGTGACCTCGAAATCATCAGTGACTAATTAATTTGATAATTTGTGACCAATAAATAAATTGTGACATATAATTATGTATCTATGATCATTAATTGTATAATTGTGGCATAATTAATAAATATTTTCAATTAATTACCTAATACCTGAATTTTGAATTGTTAAACTATGTACCTGACTTTTGAATTGGTGTAAACCATACACCTGAATTATGAATTTTTTCCTTAGTTAAAAGCTCAAATATCTAAGTTATTTAAGTTTAAATGAATTAACAAATAATTGAGTTGTAGTCGTCGGCATGGTTCTCAAATATCACAACACACATGGACGGACCCACATGGGATCATGTGGGGTCAATTGATTTTTGAATAGTGATATGATGGGAAATGTGTGGTTGAAAAAAAAGAAAAAAGTATTGATGTGATGGAAAATATTATTTTATTGAAGAATGTGTGGTTGAAAATGAGAATTGATTTACTGTAGAAAATGAGAATTTTTACCAAACAGGCTCTAAATGAATTAACAAATAATTGAGTTGTAGTCGTCGGCATGGTTCTCAAATATCACAACACACATGGACGGACCCACATGGGATCATGTGGGGTCAAGTGACCCCACAATTTTTTTGGTTTTTTTTTCTTCAATAAATCCATAGTTGATTCGAGCCATTTACAACAAGATCAGCTTTTCTTAAATTTATATATTATGTGAAAAACTTATAATTGACCTTTTACGGCCTACTTTGACGCACTCATTACGAGATATCAAATAAAGTCGAAATAATACATTCTTAATACTATTCTAAATTGCTCACGACCAAGTTTTCTGCTCGTTAATGGCGTGTGAGATAGCCAACCTAAGCAAAAGCTACGGTGTGTCTAGGTCGTTCCAAATTAATATTTCAAGAATTTCGATAATTTGCTAACTTTAAAAACGAACCGAATTCACAAATCACCTACGTCATCTAGAAGATCGTTTCGAGAACTAGAATGGTCTAAACGAATATCGAAAATAGTTAAACATGTGTCAAACGCACGTCTCAAAAAGAGGCGTTTAACTCGTATTTTCTTTTAAATTTTCAATTTCATTAACATTTATTATTTTTGCACAATAAATTTCCTAATACAATTTACATAATTTTATTAGAAAATTTTACCTGAAATATGACATCAAAATTTTTAGGATCATTACAGATTAAATGTACTTTGAATTAATTTCAAATTATATTTGCATTAAATTTGAATTTTATTTCAATTCATTTCATCGCCAGCTCAACATTTGTCAACGATATGGTAAACAAAACTATACAAATAGAAAAATCTATTTGACAATGATATAATTATACAATGTCTTCAAAGTATCAAGATATGTATTAACTTTTATGAAAATTATCAGATTGAGAGAGGGTCGTGACGGATGAAGATTGCATGGATTTTGGAGAAGTCAATTGGGGAAATCAAATCAAAGACTAAGGTAAGTCTCATATATATGATTTACTTTCATGTGTTTTAAAGTTAAGACTAAGCCTCTGTTTAGGCTCCATTTTTTTTCAAATTGAGGGAAATAGTAATTTTTTTGAGAATGTATGGTTAAAAAAGAAGAATTTTTTTAGGTTTAGGTGTAATATTATTTTATTGGAGAATGTGTGGATAAGAAGAAGAAGAAAAATGAATTTTAATTTAACGAGGGACAAACATGAGCTAAGATAATAAATTTATAAGATTATTTGTGTTTGAGCTTGTACTTCATTTGAGCCTGAAATTAGAAATATATAAGAATTTGGACAGCCTTAATGGCATGTTCCAGTTAGATCTGATTTATTCACTAAATTTTATAAACAGGTATTTGTTTTGGTACAAATTAAGGGCGAACTTCTCTGTTCCCTGTTAGTGCACTACTTTCCTTAATAAATACCGTGAGAACATTTACATTTCCAAATTTTATGTTTACATTTGCATAAGCAGATAATACCACAGTTAGACTGGTAAAATGCCATGCCTTAGTCAGCTTGAAATTAAGCGATGAAATATCAAATTGATTGCTTAAGACGTGTCTAGTCACATTTTATTATTATTTTTTCTTTTTTTTAAAGCCTTTTATTTGA